TACCAAAACCTTGCCATGCAAACCTAACACAGTCAGCTGTGGCCATGTCTCACCAAGTGTCTAAAGCCCCTAACAGAGGTGGCTCCAGCACCTCCGGGCAGCCTGTGTCAGAGCTGCACCACCTCCCAGTGAGGAACCTTCTCCAGATGTCCAGCTGGGACCTCCCATGCTTCAGTTTGCAGCCATTGCTGTTTCACCTGCCACTGCAGAGAAGAGTTTGTCTCTGTCATCTCTGTAACTGCCCTTTAAGTAATTGTGAGCTGTTATAAATACCTCCTTGGCTGTTTCTTTGCTGGATTCAACAAAGCCAGCTTGCTCAGCCTCAGCTCCTGTGTGCCCTGGTCATCTTAATAGCTTTGTGCTGGACCCCCGTCAGCATCTCTCTTGAATTGGGCAGTCGGGGGGAGGAAGACAGGACGTGAAAGTGAGCATGATTTTACAGGTGTGGCCTCACTCGTGCCAAGTAGATGGAACGTAGTAACTTCCATTGATCTGCTGGCCATAATTCTCCTAATGTAGTCCAGCCAGTGTTTACTTTATTTCAGGTAAGAATGCACTGCTAGTTCATATTCAGCCTGGTGCCCACCATAAGCCCCAGGTCCTTCCCAGCAGGGCTTTTGTCCAGCCTGTCACTTGCCAGCCTGTACCGGTGTGTGGGGTTGCTCTGCCCAGGCGCAGAGCTCTGCGCTTCTTGCTGAACCTTTGGTTTCTGTTTAGGTTACTATCTTGCTATGTATCAGCTGTCTCTTCATGATTTAGCATCATCAGTGAATTTGATGTGCCAGCCTATATTACAGCTGTTTTGGAGTGTGGGGATAGGCAGGGAGGTGTCAGCAGCTAGTGATGTCTCCTGCATTCTCTGTCTTGAGCTCTGCTTTGCATCAAAAATCATTCTGATACAAAGGAGCAGAATCATAGAATAGTTTGGGCTGGAAGGGACCTTTAAAGGTCACCTAGTCCAACTCCCCTGCAATGAGCAGGGATATCTTCAACTAGATCAGGTTGGTCAGAGCTCTGTCCAGCCTGACCTTGAATATTTCCAGGGATGGGACATCAACCACTTCTCTGGGCAACCTCTTCCAGTGTTTCACCACCCTCATTGTAAAAAAATAAATATTCTTACTTGTATATGGAAGAACAAGGTCAGCTTTCTGCTCTGAAATAGTATTTTGTCCTTCCTGGGGAGAAGACCTTCAAAGAAGTTTGATTTCTATTCTGAAAAATGAACTTGGGTTTCATGTTTGACTAACTGGGTTCTATATTAGGACAAAGAGACCTTGATCCTGTTTAAATTTTGGGCTGTTATTTCAGTGCAAGCCTTATTACTATGGCCGAGTAGGCATAAGTGATCTGAACGCTCCTTTATGAATAAGCATTGTACAATTGAGGAAAAAATAGATAATTTTCTCGTGTTTATAGGCAGATCTTTGGCATTTACATGGGGTACTGTTCAGATTGCAACTTTAATACAATTTAATATGCTTAAATATTGAGTATGAATATTTATATTGAATATGAATTCAACTGGCAAAAATAGTGCAAGCACCAAATGAAGCAGTGCTTGAATTCTTTTTTTACCTGAAAAAAATTTTCATTGTGTTAGAGTATTTCTAGAAGTCTTGCAGCAGATTGATTTTCTGTAATTAAAGCAGGCATCGGAGGATACTAAGCTAAACAAATATGTTGCTCTCTCTGTCCAGGAAAATTGAGGAGGCTCTCCATTCTGAAGGTTGATCAGAACAAACTTATTCAACTAACGGATTCAATTGGAGACTGCGAAAGCCTTACTGAACTAGTTCTAACAGAAAACCAGCTGCAGGTAAGCATGGTTGTCACTGCTCAAATGGCTGGCGGTAGTAAGACCTGCTTCTAAGTGCTGAATCACTTTGTAAGGTTACACACCGTTACTACTGTTAAGTAGCGAGTTTCCTTTAAATGCATCTTATTTAAAACCTTTTAAATGAATGCTGAAGATCAAGTTGTGTGTAGTAACAATCCTCCCTTCCAAAGGCTTAAGCAATTACATATTCACTCTTGAATCTTTCATGATCCGTAAGGGAATTGGAGCACCTGGAGTGCAGGTATCATTTGCTTTGTTGTGTTTTTAATGTGGAGCTTGTGCCATGTTGCATTGTTGCCAATTTTTGCTGTGCATTATCTGGATCAGACTTGCTGGAACTGAATAGAAGCCCTGAGCACTGCAGAGCTGCTGTTGTGTTGTTCTTTGCTCTGCTGATCTACTCCAGCCAGGTATTAAATGTGATATGTGGTCAATTAAAATAAAATCTTAGACTTCCTTCCATTAGGTGTTTCTTTCCATTATTTTGATAGTGCCTTAACAGGACACTGATGCTGTAGAGTAGAAGCTTTTATAAAAAAATCTAGATTTGAGCATTTCTTAGGTTGGTGCTTGGTTGAGTTAGGAGCTTAAGCCTGTTGGAAAGATGCCTCTCCAGAGGTCAGTTCATAGCACCCAGGTTAGATGCTTGCCTCTCAATTTGCTATTTAGGGAGCCTACAGTTAGATAATATGGACATTCTGTATACATGCTTCTGTACACAGCTCTTGTGCATTTATCATCTTAGTGCAGGGAGAACTCATGAGTGAATTTTGTATTAGAACCTGACATTCCTGGACATTTCCTTTGCAAGATAAACCCTTGGATCTCCTTTGGAAATCCTGGTAGTAACGAGGGTTAACTACACTCCAGTTTTGAAAATGGATCAGTCTATTAATTCATTTTTAAAGTGAGATGATAAGTTTTTGTTCTGACTCTGAATTTATGAAGTCTGTTTGTATATTATTTTGTTTTTGTTGCCACAGTCATTGCCGAAGAGCATTGGAAAACTAAAGAAGCTGAACAATTTGAATGCCGATAGAAACAAATTAACATCTTTGCCCAAAGAGGTAAGCTTTGTGCAATTAACTCTCACAGATGTGATTATACAAACAGAAAACTATTGATTTGAAATGCCTACAAGAAATAGCAGGCAGCTTTGATCCACTGGGCATTCTTCCCAAACCAGAAACTTGTCCATTAGATCTGAACAGCATAAATCTGAACAGCAGCTGTGATGATTTGGTAGCTTGGAAGTGCAAAATGTCTTTGCAGTTGAACAAGAAGGCTTGGATCTAATTAGCTTGTAACAAGTAATTCCCAGTGTGGGTGTCAGGTCCAGCACTATTTGAAGTCTGGGAGTTCTGGTAGAGTGAAGGAATTTAAACATCAATATGCCTCTTCTGCATGTAGTATAAAAATACTGCTGGAGTCTTCCACGCCTCACTCTTGTGAGCAATAGCAAAGGGAAGGTTGCATATTCTGATAAATGACTGTTTTGACAGTCTTTTTGGTTTTGAAGATCTCGGGACTACTTTTGGCTTTAAATATGAGGACCTGACATGACCAAGATCACTGATACCTCAGATCTTACAGCTGTGATCACTAGGACTTCATGTCTACTGTAACAATATATGGAATGAAATGGGGCTAGAATTTCTGTTGTGAAACTAAATATAACAGAGGCCTTAGAAGTTTAGTTCAGCAGTAAATTCTGGAAAGAGATTGGGGAAGCAGCATCCTGTGATTGGAGCACAGGACTGCGAATTGGTTCTGTTTGCACTACTGTTTCTCTCTAATTTTTGTCCAAGTAGTTCTCCCCCTTAATTTTCCTATCTGTTCCTAACATGTGGCTCTGAGGTCATAGCTTTTGTTCACCACTTCCAGTCACTTCAGGAGCAGGAGGGGTACATACTCAGGTGGCAGCCAACATGAGAATTGAGGGGAGTATCAGTTCTGGCTAGTGAGCACACACTTCTGCTCAGGCCCGCTTACTTGTGGGGCTTGGACAGCTCGAGGAGGAGGTGTGAGGAGGAAGCAAAGTGGCTGGGAACCGGGAGATGGGGAAGAGCCGATGATCTGAAGAGGACGGATCAAGCAGGGGCAGAGGATGCTGGTGTGGCTCTGGCAGCAACATTTCCAGTGGCCCAGGTCTGAGCTGCCACAGGTTGGTCACCTAATCGGGGCTCCATGATAGCCCTTATTGCTCCTTTAGAGATTGTCTTGTAAGTGTGTATTTCACTGGGGTGGAGGGAAGGTGAGGGAGGAAGAGAAGATGAGAGTACTGCAGCTCCTGTAGTAGAACAGTGTCTCCTTGGCAGAGGTGCTGCTGGTTTTGAACAGAACATTGCAGAGGGTGTACCCAGAAGCTAGCAAGAGGCAGGACCTTGAGAAAACCATGTTTCTGGGTTGGGATGTGATGGGAATTTTGATCTTGTGCTTATTCAGCAGAAAACTTTCCATTTCTTTACAAAGAACTTAATTTAATACATTACACAGGTGTCCTAAACTATCTGTACTTGAGACTTGTACAATTTTGTGTCTTGTCCATCTTTAAGCAGAATTACTCTTGAGTTTGTTATAGCGTGTAGGATTTTACTGATGCACTTTATTTTCAGATTGGCCATTAATAGCTTATATAGTGTATAAGAACTTTTCTTGGTTAATGAAGTTCACAGTATTGGAGATGGTGCATGAGCAGTGTGACTTGGAAGAAGCAGGGACAGGAGCAGGTGGGAGGAGAAAGTTCAGCTTCAGAGACAGGTAAAACAGCTTGAATATGGAGTGTGTCTGTTTGGGGGGGAATAAGAGAGTCAAGGGTTTGGTGCAGAACAGTGGAAATTAATGCTGAACAAAAAATTGGGGACATGGACCCAGAAATAGGTTTCAGAAGTGGAAAGCATTGCTCAGTCACTGAAGGAGTTGGGGATATCCAAGGGTGAAGTAAAGAACAAGAAAGAGTTTTTTTCATGAGAGAGAGGGGAGGGGATGTCTGCACAAGGGGTGGGATAAAGTCAGGGATGAGTCTGTGTTTGGGGAAGGCAGGTGATGTGGAAATGGAAGGTGGTATCTGGAATGAGGTGAGCTGGGGAGTTGTAGAAAGTCCAGGACATAAAGATGGGAGAGGGTGGTTCCCAGGGAGCTTGGCAGAGAAACAGAGGAAATAGAGCTCCTTGGCATCCACTTCTTTGAAATTGATTTTTTTTTTTCTACTCCCCTAGCCCCCCCCCCCCCCCCAGCTCCCCCCCAGCAAGGTCTCCGCACGTATGTATCTTTCTCATTAGAGCAAACACTTTGAAATGACAATTAACGTAGGATTTCCAGAATGCTTCATTAAAGTATGTTTTGCTCTGTGGATTTTTAAAATTCTTGTTATTTTTTTATTTTTAAAGGAAGTCAGTCCTTCTCCAACTGGAGGGTCATATCCACCCTCTAGATCGGTGGACTTGAATTCCAAGCTGGTAATGGTAACAAATAGAAAGCACAAACAACTGATGCAATGATTTGTCTCAAAAATACCGTTAATAAGCATGTATTGCAGAACCTACTGTCTAGCTAACGAGACTTTTCAGCTTCAATTTTTTCAAGTTTCAGTTTCAATTCCTTGGGCTTAGGCTGTCCAATAAAACACTTTTCCCTCAAAGACTTTAGATTGCATTCTAACAATGCTGAAATGCTAGTTTTGAAAACAGAAAGAAACAGAAGCTGCTCTCTGTTCATGTTTTGTCTGTTCCTGGAGCTGCATTTTCTTTGTGTAGTATTTTTCTTAAGCGATAGCTTTTTGCTTTAAACCAAACGTGGATATTTCTGTAGTACAAGTTTTCTGGGTAAAATTCAGAGGAATTCAGTGAAGAGTCACATTTCATAACTCTAAAAGAAAAATGTTCTGTGTAAACAGAGTGCACAGGTATAACGAGTGCTGTTTGCTGTTACGCAAAGCATCCACAGGAGCAGCTTCAGGGGTGCTCGTAATGGCAATGATCCCAATTCTGAGTTTCCCTTTGGATGGCAGGGATGAACAATTTGGTGTCTTGGTGAAATGTTCAATTTTCATTTTCCTTCTCATCATTAATGACTTGGGGAAAAAAAAATAAACCACAAAATGCATTGGTAGAGCACTTAAGGAAAACTGAAGAATATGTCACTTTTTTTCTGCCTGTTGGAAGGTTCTGCTTGACAGCGAGAAAGCATACCATCTTTTTCATTTATTTTTGTCTCAAACTGACTAATTAATATTTAAAAACAGATGCGAGCTTCTTACAGCTGTCATTTTCAACACCCCTGCCTGCTGTGTCTTGCTTAAGATGTCTCCTGAGATAGTATGGTAAAGACTGGGGTCTCAGACCTTTGCACATCAATCAGTGTTAGTACTTGTACACTGGTTCCCACTTCACAGAAGCAGAGTCAGATGTAGAAGTAGAGTATGCGCTGCATATATTCTTGCTCGGTATTTTCCTTTCTTTTCCTTTCCCTCTTCTCCTTCCTGGTTTCTTTTGTTCTTTCTCTGCCTTATAGAGTGCTAGAACAGCTGTGCATTTGTGGTCTTTTTCCTGATAAGAAATGGGTGTGGGACAGGCCTTTACTGGTTTGTGTCGGAGAGGGACAAAGACATAGTAACTCGTACAGAAAAAAATGGGACTCTACTAGCAAGAAGAGTACATGTGACAAATATCATATCTACTTGCTGGTGTCTCTGTTCTTCCCTTCAGAATTATTCCTATAGCAAAGAGAGCTTTTATAGATATGATGGCAGAAATTATGTGCCTGCTCTGATACAACCTGGTGAGATAATCTATGAGTTCTAGCTTTTTTGTGGTGGTTTGGGGTTTTTTTTGGTGGTTTAGGGGTTTGTTTGGGTTGTGGGTGTTTTTTCTGTTTGTTTTGTTGGTTTGGGTTTTTTGTTAGCAGTTTACTAGGATTGGATTTTGGGTCAGCCTGTCAAACCATTACATTGCCAGGTTGTTTCAATGCACACTTGTAAAGCCAGTCTCTACCTTTTGGAGCAAGATTTCTTGACTTGGGATTATTGAGGAGCTTGTATGCAAATACTCCTTCAAAGTTTCCTGGTTCAAAGGTTCTTTCCGTATCTGGTGCCGATATGTAAGGTAAAACATGGAACAGCTGAATGTCTGACCAAGACTTGAGTCACTGACAGATTTCATCTTCAGTATCTCGTCTTGCAGCTCAATCCCTCTCTCGCTGAATTGAGTGGCGAAACAAACTTCGGCACGAACTGAGAATGTCTAAACCTGTTCATAGTTACAAATGTTTTTCCCCTTAAACTTGAAAGACCTGCCTGGTAACTCTTTGGTATTGAAATCCCACCCTGGCAGTGGAACGCTGGTGAAACTGGTGTGTTGATTTTGGCACTTGCATAAATAACCTCCTTGGAATGTTTTCCAGTTCATGTGCTTTTGTTAATGAGTCTCTACAACCTGCAGAGATCTGGTAATGTGTCCGTCCTGGCTCTGAGGTGTATTATGGCTGGGAATTATTACTACAGTAGGTAAAACTGCAGGGTTTTTTTTACAATAACTGTGCTTTTTACATTTTTCTTATTTTTTTTTTTAAAGAAGTTGGGGCTGCTTTGTTATTTCTGGTTTTAATTTCTGATGTCCCATCCCATCCCTTCCCTCATTTGTGTAAAGGTATGTGTTTGTGTGTCTCAAAGGGAAAAAAGGCAGTGAAGAAAAATGCAGGAAAACTTGTCTTGAGTCAGAGGGCAGAGAAGCAATATTGCTGTGCTCCTCCCATGCTATTCACCAGTGGTGCAAGGGATGTTGAAGTGAGTTTGCAGATTTTCCTAGCCACTTTAAAGTTATTACGAACTGAATAATAGCTAATAGTAGTGAATTGAGCATTTTCTTCCACCTCTAGATGTATTCTATGTTTGCAGTTAAAGAACTATTCTGTTTTATGTGGGGCCAAGGAAAATTCTGACTTTATTTACTTTGAATCCAAACCAAATTTTGGTTATGATATCCTGGAAAAGATTTTACAACAAAATAGTGACTGTGTTTAAATTCCCAATATATTTATCCGAGTTGTATAAGCCTAGTAAGAGTTCTTGATGCTGACAGCTGTATCGAGACTTGAATGAAAGAGGTGTTTCTCTGGGCTTTAACTAGTCACATGCTGAAGAATAATCATTGTAGTATTTGTCATAATGTCCTCTTTTTTTTTTTTTTTTTTTTGTATTGCTTATACTTGTGTGATAGATGCTAACTGGTAAAGGACAGCAGAATTGTTTCATAGCTTTTGAGCAGTTAACAGATGCTGAGATCAAAAGGTGTTATTCAACTAACATAACTTGAAGGTGTTCTGAGTTTCCTACCCTTAATTTGTGTTTTGACTTAAGACCACTAACTGTGTGAGGATGTGCCATGGTAATCAGTGAAATTTTGGTCTTTGGTGATGAATGACTGTAACTGACGGCTGGGCTCAAGACAGGAAGCAAATGAGAGTTTTTGGGAGGGATCTAACTGGGAAGAGAGGGATGAGTCTGCACACTCCTCTTGGGTTTACCTCCAGAAAGCTGCAAAGCTGTCATCATCAAGAAAAAACAAATGGTAACCATCAGGTTATTGTAACGGAGAAGCGCACTAAAATCAGGTGATCAAAAATACACAACTGATACAGGTGTCAGAACAACAGTCTGTCTGCAGTAGGGAAGAGGAGTCATCAGAAACATCCGCAGAGGAGTGATGTGATAAGACTTACAATTCTGGAGGACTGTTTAAGATGGACTGGCAGTGGGTATGTGGATGTCAAAAAAAGCAGGAGGCCGAAATGGTGAGCGTTGGTCATGATCAGAACAGAGAGGGGAGTTCTGGCAGCCAAGCTGACATGCTCTCTGTGTATGCCCAAGTCTTACTGCTTCTCCAAAACAAGAAAGCTGTTAGAAAGATGAGCCTCAGACTGAAATAGAAGAAAAGAGCAAAAAAAAATCATCCATAAGGTTAGAGTTTTGTGTGGAACCCAGAAACGTCCTATTGATGTTCATCCTCTGATGCAAGTCCACCTGAATGAAAATCAGCAGTTTTGTTCAGACTTTACAGTACTGTAAAATCAGTGATCTCAAAATTAGCACTTCATAGTAATGATCATTTTTGGCCTGACTGATGTGTGGGTCTTGTTTTTGTGGTTTTGGTTTTGTTTTTTTATCAGGGCTGACTGTTCTTTGGAGATGGTGGGATGAGACAAGTGAATAACCCTAAATAAAAGCTGCTAGAATGAAATAATTCTCAGGAGTATGACTTAGACATGCACAACTCATTTGAGACCTTTTCCTGACTTCTAGCTCACTACAGAAGAACGTGAAGCACTTCTTTAAGCCTCCAGTCTTTGGAACAGTTACTCATGTGCCTAGAACTAAGCACATGCTTGTCCCCATTAATTGAAGTCTGTGCTCGAAATGAACTGTGTGCTTAACCGTTAAATGGGCTTGTGGTCTCAACTGTGTACTCGGTGCCTCTGCGGTGGTTTGGCAAAGTCTGTTGTAAGCATGTGATCAAACCCTTGGAAAGCATGGCTTTCTGTCAGTTAATGACTCTCAGCCAAACCAGCGATGTTCTGATACCGTATTACTTCATGGTGGTCACAATTCCTTTCAGCATGCCATTCAGTGTGTGCACTTTGCCTCGGTGGTATCACTTCGTGTTTAGGTTTTCAAATGTCGGACCTGATGTCTTTCTGTACTGCTGGATGGGTGCCATCTTTTTTTGAAATGACAAATGTTTTTAGTTTTTTGTAACTGTCAGCTTGTCTTCTTTCTCTGTGATCTCACTTGATGCTGCTTGTTAGATGCTGCCTGCATTTTCTAAAAACATAACAAAAATTTGGTGTCTTATGTCCCCCCCACTACCCTATTAAAAATAATAAAAAAAAAGGTCTTCACTACCTCAAATTGAAACAAAATCTTTGAACAATTGTCTGTTGACTAATAGAGCAAAGTTAAAATAACCAAGGTAAAATAACAACTCAGGAGTTTTAACCTTCTTTGGCAGTAGAAGAATGTATGTTCTGTCTCCATTTGTTGGCATGCTCTTGTCCAGTATGGCTAAAGAAAAATAAATTGAACATGTCTTGTATTTTCTTAATTGTTAGCCGCTTGGAAAATTATGGGTCAGGTAAATTGATAACCCTGTAAGTATTATTCAGTCCACGGTTCTGCTGTTACCTTTCATTAAACTGCTTTAAATGCATGATGACTCAGGCCGGCTGGTTCCACTGCTGCATTTTTCCATTGTCGAAAGTAAAGACGTTTTGGTCTCATCGGGGCTGCATGGCTTTACTTTGTTTGGCTCAACTGTTTGGATCTCCATGCTCCAAGACTGAATAACGCAAACTTCATTCATGGAAAAGCAAACACTTTGTGTATGGTTAGGGCATCACTTGCCAGCTCATCAACATTCACTAATTGTATCTCTTGCTTTTCACAGCTCCTCATGTTAGATACACCAATTAGACAGTGTCTGTGTGTATATATATATTTTTTTCTATATAGAAATTCTGTATTCTGTGAATGTGTCAAGGCATATTAGTTAAGAATCTATACACGCTTTAAAGTGAATAGCAGAATTACTGCACTCAGAAATGTTTGCTCGCTGTTTGAGCGCTGGTTCCTAAGGGCTTTGATTCACAAGCTAAAATGGCTAACAAGATTGCCGCTCCTAGCGTGCGTGCAGAGCCGGGAAAGCTGATACTCTTGTGAACGAGCTGCATCTTAGAGTGCAGTGATTTAAGGGAAACCATCCCATATTTTGTTTAGTTCAGAGAACGTTGTGGTGCAACTTTGTGCTGTAAATAGCCTGTGAATCAGAAGCCTTGAGCAGCTGATCGCTGCTTTCTTCCATTAAAATGTATTTGTGATACAAAGGAAGGTGAGCAGGGTATTAACGCTCTGTTTTGTTTTATTTTCTAAGTCACAGTTGCATCCTTTTAAAAATAGGTTTTTCCTTGGTAAACAGCGTAGGTTAAATTGACATGATTTTTACTTTGACTAGTGGAAAAGCTTTTGTGGTCTTTGTCTGTAATCTGAAATTTGGGTTTGGACTGAAATGTAGATTTTGCAAAGACAAAATTGACAGCTAACTAGCACACATAAATAATCTCAACTCAGATTTGGGGACTCCTGACCAAGATGTAGTGACATGTTGGCTATACTGTGACAGAAGAACCTTCTTACATGTGTGTGACTATAGAAGTCCTCTCATTTTTGAACTAAGATCTTCCAGTAGGTTTGCTATCTGTAGTTAGGTTCTAAGTCTGCTTAACTTGAAAGCTTCAAAGGACATTGGGATATTTCGCCTCTAATACTTGGAGTAAGGGAAGAAACATATTTCTTTTTCCCTTCTTGTGGTGAGTTTTGGAACTGGCGAACAAACAACAGTGCTTTTTGAAGCTCTGTATGATAAGCAAACAAAGGTAAGTTTCCTTTGTGAATAGGAACAAAGAGTTACTTGAAACTGCTTTCCAGTTGCTAAAACTAATAATCTTGGTGTTTATAGGAGTAGTAATTGCCATTTAGAACAAAAAGGTGGAATGTGTTTTTTGGTTGGGTTTTTTTTTTTAATCAAATGTAGATGGTTTATTTTTCTGAAAACGTGTATCATTGATGCAAAATGTAGATATTTTATGGGTAAAACTGAAAAATTTTGCACCCAAAATTTAGCTTAGGAATGCAGATGCTTATGTTTGGATAAATTGCTAGAGACAGAGGATATTAGATTAAATTGTCCAGGTCATATGGAAATCATCTTGAAATTAGATGCTTCTAATAAAGCAGGGCATCAGAGATGTTACTCAAAGTCTTCAGCTTTTTGTAAACTTGTCATTACTCTTTGCGGACTCAGTAAATGTTGGGAGTTGACTGGTTTATTTAGCATTTTCCCTTGCCTAAAGCCCTGTTGCACTTGCTTTTATCCAAAGTTACCATGAGGAAAAAAAGAATTAATATATAAAACATAGAGCTAGAAATAGTTGAAAAGCTAATAATTTTTGTGAGGGTTGTCTACAAAGTGGCATCTGTGTGGTTACTGATCTCTTCTTGGTGTGGAAGGCTCTAGAATGTAGCTAGAACCTGACCTATTTGTAAAGATACACATTATTCGCAGATACAGATGTTCAAGAAACTGCTGTAACAGACTCACTTTAGATCAGACTTCTTTTAAGATAACACTTGTTTTCAGTCTGTACCTCTGAGTGAAGTCTGGCAGGCATCGTAACTTGAATGTGCTATGACATATTACGTGACCCGTACTGCATGCCTTTCTTTATACTAGTGTACTGCAACCAAACCAGACTTTTTTTTTTTTCCCCCCTCTTCTCTAATATAGATTGGGGGGTGCTGCAGTCTTAACGTCTTCTCTGTACGTGACAACAGATTAGCTCGAATTCCCTCTGAAATTTCACAAGCCACTGAACTTCATGTCCTGGATGTTGCTGGGAACAGGTAAGAGATTCTTGTATTGTCGTATTCTTTTGCTGGATTTACTTAATTCTTTCTAATGACAAAAGATACTACGTCTAAGAATGAAGTAACAAAAACCCAATTATGACTTTTGTGTTAGGGTTACTGTTGAAATCATCAAAGTGGTCTTCCCCCTTGACCCAAAGTAGCATAAATTGTGTGTTGTTGTGAGTACATTTTCTGGATTGCTTTGACCCTGAGGAAAAGATAGGATTTAAAAAAACAAAACCAAAAACCTCTGGATTTGCGTGTTTCTGAATTAAAAGTGAGAATCTAGGTAATTTGGTAGAGCTTCAGCTGAAACTACCAGCCTTAATGTCAAGTAACACTGAGTGTCTTATCTTAGAGGTACAGTGCAAGTAACAAATAATGCCACTTTGACCTTGCGGCTTCTCATGAATCTTAGTTGGTATGCTTCAGACATCAAAATGCAAAAAGGAGTGGATTGAAGCATAAACCAGCAAATTAGTTCAGTTGCTTAGTAGGAAGTTAAATGGAAGAAAAAAAAGAGGAAAAGCAAATGGCATCTCATCTATGCAATGTGATTGTCTCGTAGGCACTTTGATATTTCTGTTCTGGCAATTGTGTATGTACAAGGCTCCAGAGCAGAAGCAGCTGACTGCCTTCCAGGGAATTTTATTGCAGTAGAAAAAGCTCAGCATTGTTATCTGTTATTCACAGCTATAGAGAATTATGGTCTAAAGTTAAGCTGCAGATTCTTTTTAAAAGAATGGGGTAGTTGGAATTGATGACTACTGCAAGGCCTTCTATTAGAGGCATTAATCTCAGTCCTGTTGATTCTAAGTCAGGGATATATATACTTAAGAGTCGACTTCATGACCATCTATTAAATCTCCTAGAGATTGCCCTGACTTTTTTTACTTTTCTTTTTTGAACCAGGCTGACGTATCTTCCCCTCTCACTGACTACGTTAAAGCTGAAGGCTTTGTGGTTGTCTGATAACCAGTCCCAACCTTTGCTGACCTTTCAGACTGACACAGACCCTGAAACAGGAGAAAAGATTTTAACATGTGTATTACTCCCTCAAATGCCTTCTGAGCCTGGTTGCCAAGGTAAGCGCCTAGAGTCAGTTTTTCCTTACCTACAGGAGTAGTTCTTTGTTTACTGTGTTTGTTACATAAAGATTTGTAAAACAGGCTTTTTGAAATCCATACGTAAGCTCTAATGAGCAGAGTAGCAAAGTTCTGGTTGACTTTTCCCTTTTAAACTTTTTTTTTTTGGTATTCATACTAGTTTTCAGAAGACTTGCAAACATGGCTGTGAGTTTTATTGAAAATACAATGACACCAGCTACAATAAATAAAATGCAGACCTGGAAAAAGAAAACTTAATCATATCATTATTCTGAGGCTTGCCGTTGGGCAAGTAGTGGTGTCTATATTTGTGTACATTGATTATACATCTTAAATACATATATATGTAGTGAAAATTGGTGGTTTTCCAACTACAATCGCTTTATCAGAAAAATAATTACATAACTAGTAATAAGCAGTAGATGTTTTATGCTTTAGCAAGCTAATTTTCTTTGAAGCAAAGATGCTGTACAGTAAGTTTATTATATTCTTCAACAAGTGTAGAATGGCAGTATAAGTTCTTTTACATTTTGTTCTGAAACTTGCCTCTGGGTCAGGTGGAACCATAAACTCTTTTTCACTGTTGGCTGGGTTGCTGCTCCAATAACTTCTGCCTCAAGCTTTTATAGTGATCTGTGAACATTCAAGGGGATTCATCTGAGCTAATACTTGAACTCTTGCTGTAATTACCAGAGAGAAATTTATCCCATCCAAGAACAGACTTTTAAAAAGAAACCATGTGGATTCTCCTCCACTGAGTACAAAGGGGGCCTGAGGAAAAAAGCTCAGCTGTAGATATCTGCATTGTAGGTACCCAGACTTACCTAGATTAATTCCACTCTTTCAATACTATGCAGCTGGAACAAATAGAAACCGTAAAAGCAGTAGAAGTGTAGAAATGGCTCTGGTTTGTGTCAGCTTCTGGATTTTAAGAATACAAATTGCATTAAGAATTAAAATAAGTAAACAAATTAACCCCTTTAGATTTAGAGAAGACTAAGCTAGCTCAAGAAGAGTAACTGAGGCAGGCTGACTTTCTCTAAAGGCCACACTACTAGAAATTACATTTCTTCCTCTCCAAATGAATCTCGTGGCTTGAAGGGTAGAAGGTTTGGAATTAAGGTTGTTGGACGTGTGTGCCTAAGCAATACTAAAAGGATGACGTCCGTAAAAGCAACGATCCTGTGTTACAGAATGCCATTTAGGGAACTGGCTAATGTCAGATGGCAGCCCTGATCCAGAAGAAAAGCACGTGTAGTGGCAAGTATATTAAAATATGTAATCAGTGCTCTAAAACTGCCAGAAGCCTGAAACAATCCAAGTGCAGAAATTTCTCATTTATACAGAAACTATTTATTGTGTGTACTTGATAACAGAAAACTAATGCAAGTTCTGTTTTCTATCAAAAATATAGAAATAGTTGTAAATCCTGAATGAGTGATTGGTTTGATACTGCAATTATTAACAATATAGTATGTTAATGTTTCAGGCTTGCTGTGAATCTTTAATTGTGTTTTGCTTTTCTAACAGATAACCTACCACGATGTGGTGCACTGGAGAGTTTGGTAAATGAAATGTCAGATGAAACATGGAATGAGCGGGCAGTGAATAGAGTCAGTGCAATTCGCTTCTTAGAAGATGAAAAAGATGAAGAGGATAATGAAATGGTATGTTTTCCAAGCCTTTCGATACCTGCAGACACTGTGCCTTTAATGCAAAAGTGTATGAAAGTATCTGAGCTCTCTTGCTGTAAATATTTCAGCTGTGACTGCATGCTTTTTGCGTGTGTTTATAGAAGAAATTGTTCATCTTGACTGCTGAATCTTTTCACGTTGCCTTAAAATGCGTTTGGTTTTTTTTTTCTTTTCTTTTCTTTTCTTTTCTGCTTTGAATTTAACGCTTACGTTCTGATGCAGGACAATCTTTGTTTTACTTTGTTTTCCTGTGTCTACTCAGGATGTTTTCTTTCCAGAAACAAGATAGGATCTTTCTTTGCATCTGTGAAGCTTTACTGCCTGAAAGTATATAGGGTCCAGTTTAGGATTCCAGCACTCTGGCATGTGTCTTCATTAAGTTTGCCTTTGTTTGTCTTTCTAATTTCTATTTCCGACCTTTTTCTTTCTCTCTCTCTCTCTCTCTCTCTTTCTTCTTTTTTTTTCCTCCACCATTTGCATTGAAACAACCGTAGTGTGCATAAAAAGCAAGAATGTTGCTCATTAGTTTCCCACTTAAACAAAGGATGTGGGAACATCTGTCACTGTACTTATAAGACCTCTCCATTAAGTTGGGCTCTGCATGTCCTGAAGATCAAAATGCAACGTGATCTTTAGCTTTACTAACTTTCATTAACAATTAAAACTCTTTGTAAAGATTAAGACTGCTTCAATCAGATTTTCAGCATGCTTCTCTGATGCTCTAAAAGCTTGCTGGTGGTCCTCATTAGAGCTCAGCTTGGGATACTTCAGGGCACTGTCTGGATCGTAGCACTCTAGAAACATGGTCTTACTTTAAAAAGTGACTGTAAAAATTCTTAGTAGGGAAATGAACATTTAAGTTTTCAAGTAAGGTGGTTACGCTTAATCCAAAGCAGCAGAAACGAAAAGCGTCTGATGAGCATGGTTCGTAGACTTTGAATGATAAGGGAGTTCAGAACGATGCTTCTTAATAACTGTATCAACCTGAGAATGTCCATGCAATAATGAGGGATTGGGTGTTAATGATAACTGCTTTCGGTCATGGTATTACAGCCTGACTTGAAGCAAGAACCTTTTCAGGTGGAGAATAAGTTTATGATCCTACTGGGGTGGAGGAAGGGCAGATGTCCAAAGCAGTCTTGACCTATGCACCCATTGTGGGTCATCAGTTCTGTGTAATCTGCACAGTTTACATGTATACCACTGAAAAGTAATTGCATGTGTATATGTATTATACTGATACATATTTGTGCAATTATTCTTGGTGTTTTGTTGGTCTCTAATCTGGATGCTAACTGGGGTTTTCATAAATTTTGTTTTCCTTGTAAAGGTTTCAGCACAATGATGCTAGACGTTCTTGTGTCTAAGATGGGAGAGAAATACTCCCTCTTCTTCCTTTCAAGATATTTGTTCTCAACTGACAAGAGAACCAAACTGTGTGGTGGGGCTGGAAGGCATACAGAGCTCCACACAAACATGTGTTTGACACTGTAAAGAGATCTTGTGGGATTCTTTCAACCAGCTGAACGTTTTTTGTTTGAAATATGATCTTAAATCACTTGAGTGGTTTTGGGGAAAAAAAAAATCCTAATATTTATGAAAGAATCTTCACTGCATAACTTGTAATTATACTTCACTGGAGTGGCTTTCAGAGTAGTAGGTCAAGAGAGGAAAAAATTTGCTCCCAGACAGTTCTTAAAACCTCTTTCACTGTCTTCATAAACAAGCAGCTATGAAAATAACGTTCAACATAGAGCATCATAGTTTGAAAAGGGGGGAAAAAAAGAAAAAAAAATCGATACCTAATATTTGGTATGTGAATGCTAAAGCCTTGAAAGCGTATGTTGTTTTTCAAAGAGACAAAGGCAAAACCTCTTATTGCGCTGTTTATTTTTAGAGAACACTTCTAAGGCGAGCCACTCCACACCCTGGAGAATTAAAGAACATGAAAAAGACAGTGGAGAATTTACGGAATGATATGAATGCTGCTAAAGGACTGGATTCAAACAAAAACGAGGTCAATAATGCCATTGACAGAGTGACCACTTCTGTGTAGAGTTTCATCTCCAGGTTTTACCTCCTGTGTCTTCCCCTGCTGTTGAAATGTTCCTGTCGTCTTCTGGGACCTCACTGAGCCCCTTTTTGTTTTTAACCAGAACCTGATTCATCGTCTCCATATATGTGAAAAGTGCTGCCCACTGGAAGAAAGTGCCTTATTTCATCCAGGCAGTGAACCAATAATTTCCAAATCAATATTGTAATTTTAATAGTGCTAGGCTTTTTTAAAGTATAATACACTACTGTATGCAGAATACAATATTTTTGTCTTAAACACAGGGGAAATAATGCTTTTCTTTTCCAGAGTGCTGGGATATATTTTTTCCCAGTGGCTGGATGTGCTGGTGAGAAATATAGTTTTGTGGAAAATCGATACACTTTTTTATTTTTTTGGCAGCTCAGATGGTGTAAATTTTAAATTTTTGTATAGGACTTTCATAACAAAATGATGTATTTCATTTTTAAGAGAAAATTTATCTTGAGCGGTACATATTTTAGTATTTGTGGAAGAGAACAAGTTTCATGGACAATTGTATTCATTTGTTTGTACCACCCATCGTGCCTTATGGTGTCTTGTATGTCATATTAGTCTTAAATATAGCAAATCTTGAGAAAAGTGAGTAGATTTAAACTTGGTCTCCTGTTTTAGATCTGTTTTTCCTTTTGGACAGTAATTTGTTGGGATTTTTACAGCAGAGAACTTATGTTTGTATCATGGGGTCTTAGGTCGTGAAGCACAAATGTTTTGTTGTAAACAAAATTAAGATTAAAATGACCAAACCGCTATTGTTATTACATAATGCACTCACACTTTAACTTAGTTGTAATGAAACATCTTTTGTTTTGGATGCCATGTTGCATTGCAGTCACTAGAAATTCCTGCTTCCCTTGGTGGTTTTTTTTGGTTGGTTTTTTTTGGTGTTTTTGTTTTTGTTTTTTTTTTTAAATGTGCCACATGTAAAATAACTTGAAAAACAGCACGGTAGACTTTCAGAAGCACAGTATGAAGCTAGTTTTATGTATTACACAAGAAAGCATGATTCTTTAAAGTGCTTTGGTGGTTTTATATAAATATATAAAACCATAATAAAAAAAATCTTTAAAAGCTTCAGTAGATTTATTGTATCATTAAAATAGCAATTAAAGTATGTATGAATTAATACTGGAATTTACTATCATTGTTACTGTGTTACACTTCCAGTGGTCCAATGCTGATTTCAAGGTCTTATTAAATCTGTGGGTTCTGGTTTGTTTGTAAAGGTAAGTATTAACTGAGTTGAATTCAGTAGATAATGATTTTGCAAAAGGCTGTTCAAGATTGATTTTTGGTGTCTCTGGGTTCATTATGTGCCATGAGCTAACAAGAGCCACTAACTTGTTCAGTGCAAGGACTTGAGCAGCCTGAGTTCAGAGCAAAGATTTGACATGTTTTGTGTGAGCTAATGCAATGAACTCAACTTTTAACAAAATGAAAGACCTCACACTTCATGTATGGCTAACCTCGTCCCTTCTGCTCAACATTTCTTTCAGTAAGTGTTGGTGGCATGAGGGTTTCTGGGAGAAGATGAGAAAGGAGATGATTAGGGAAGTCATAATAACATCTATATTAAAATTAATAACTGCAATATTTGATAATTGTAATTTAACTTCTTAAATTTTGATTTGAAGCTTTTATAAAAAGGCGCTGCTTTCTTTTTGATATTGGACAAGTAGGTATTGCAAATCATCTCCAAGTATTCAATTCTAACCTGACAAAATACATTAATTTTTATGATTTTTTCCTCATCCCAAAGATTCCTCATTTAAGCTTTTAGGCATGGTCTCTTTGCAGGAGCTGCTGCAGGTTGATAGAATCATAGAATGGTTTGGGTTGGAAGGGACCTCAAAGATCATCTAGTTCCAACCCCCCTGCTGTGGGCAGGGACACCCTCCACTAGACCAGGTTGCCCAAAGCCCCATCCAACCTGGCCTTGAACACTTCCAGGGAGGGGGGATCCACAACTTCTCTGGGCAACCTGTTCCAGTGCCTCACCATCCTCACAGCAAAGAATTTCTTCCTAACATCTAATCTAAATCTACCCTCTTTCAGTCTAAATCCATTACCCCTCATCCTACCACTGCATGCCCTTGTAAACAGTCCCTCTCCGGATTTCTGGAGGTGTTAGGCTAGTTCAGGGCAATTTCATTCTTCCCAGAACAGAGCTCTGCTTCTTGTTCTTGGTAAGCTGCTCTTAAAATAGAAAGAAAATGAGAGGTTTTGATACAGTTGAGTCCAACCTTGGGTAGAGTTTTCTTTTTAAAGTACTTACGGGGATTGACACAATAAAAGTGTAAAAATGCAGGAAACTCTGTACGCAGAGTCTGAGTAAACCTCAGCAAACTCATTTGAGATGAACACGAGTTCCTAAAAAAGACAGACCAAAGCCAAAGGCAGCAGGACTCTGTGCTCTGATATGATAGTTTTTCATTTGGAGGTTGTGGTGTGGTTTGGTTTGTTTTTAGCATCTGCTCCAGATATAAACAGGAGAGCTCCATCAGCTAGCTGAAATGAATGTTTAAAGCTTGGGTTTGGGCCTTGCCTGACATTCCACCAGTCGAAAATAATTAACTACCTGTGTGCACCTACTCCTGC